TCCATAGCTAGATTCCTATTGGCTATTGCACTTTGCAATAGCCAATAGCAAACTAGGTAATGTACCCGCCCACTGCTGCTGTCAATCAGCAGAGGGGGACCTGAATTTTTCTATCAGGTCCTCTTCTGGTTATTGAAAGCAGCAGAGGGCGGGTGCAATAGCTAGTTTGCTATTGGCTATTGCAAAGTGCAATAGCCAATAGGAATCTAGCTATGGATTCTTATGCCTTTTTTTTAAATATTCTGACGACTGCAACTGGCAGAATACTAAAAACAAAATCAGAAAAAAAAGCTGCAGATAGCAAAGAAGCGATTGCTTCCTGTGCTATCTGCCATCATTTCAAGGGGGTGCTCTCTCCCAGCCCCCCTAACCCCCTCCGCGGATGGGGGGGGGGGCGTAGAAAGCACCTCCCTGAAATGAGAAGGACACCTCCCTGAAATGGCTTCTTTCAGGTTGGGATCCCTGACATCCGCACCCGTACGGACCTGTACTTGGGGTGAGCGTAGGGCGGTGTACGGCGGCGTACTCCCATAGAGAAGGATAGGTGCTGCGTACTAATCACACGGAGCACCTGTCCTTCCCTGGAGGTGCCCGATACGGCCGTGCACGCAGCACTGAGTTGTACGTGCCGGCCCTTATGCTCGGCAATTGATCAGCTGAAATGTAGAAATGATTATCTAAATGCAGAAATTCGGCGTTCTCCGGAATCTGCGGGAGTGTCCCTTACTGAAACCTTTAGGGCTCGGTCACATGACTTCAGTTGATCCCAGACTGATATCAGCGCAGGCTCCACGTCAAGGCACGCAGCAAACAACTGTCTTCAATGTGTCCTGCTCACACCACAATGCCGCCTCCAGGTTAAAATACAAAAAGGTAAAAAAAACTTGTACTTGTACTGTACCAAGGCAAGGACCGCCCCTACGCAACGCACACCAACCCAAGCCCTTAAAGGAGAACTATGAGGTGAGTGCTTTTCACTCACCTCATAGTTCTAGCCGACCTGTGACAATGAGACTGTCACAGGTCGGCTCAGTAGATCGGGAGGTGAGCGAACACATGTCGGTGTTCGCTCACTTCTCGATCCTGTCACGGCTCTCTGCCGTGACAGGGGAGGGGCTGGATTCCCCCCTCCGATCCACCAGCGCTGACTGGCGGAACGGACGGGGGAGGGGGCGGGTACAGCTGGCTCTGCCTCTAGATAGGCAGAGCCAGCTGTCACTCACGCAGCTGGGCGGATCTCGACATCAATGTCGGGATCCGCTCCGGTGTCTCAGTATACCGCGAGCAGCAGCTTGCGGTGTACTGAGCTTAGGGTGACGGGAGGACGCTAGTTTGTGTTCTCCCGTTACCCTAAGGAGAACTATGGGGAAAAGCCCTGACCCCATAGTTCTCCTTTAATGCTCACCAACCTTGAGAAAGTTGGTTGGCGCCCCACTGAAAGGTCGGTGAATATTAAGACTCCCTTCACATGGTGCCCTTGCGTTGTGGTGCGTTAATGTGCAATAATTCACATTGACATGTGTCGTCTTTGCCAACGCATGGCAAAAAAAGAACACTGGACCTAAACGAAGGGGCTCATTTATAACACACATTCGCAGCGCATTACTGCCACTAGATGCTCCGTGGCTGCATGTAGTGCCATTAATCCGCTGTGAACCAGCATGGAGCCAGCTTCTGGACCAATCAGGAAGCCAATCGGCGAGTCATTACACGGCGCCCGGCTTCCTGATTGGCTGGGAAGCCAGCTCCATGCTCCCTTGTCACCAGGGAGCATGAAGCTGGCTTTCTGGCCAATCAGGAAGCCAGTGGGGGGGCAGGTAATGACTTGCCATCCGGCTTCCTCATTGGCCATCTTCCCGACCAATCAGGACTCGCTGCCCGGCTTCCTGATACTGGAAGTTCGGGTATCGGGCTAGGATTTGGAGCATTTGGGCGAGTCCGAGTACTCGCCCAAATACTCGTATCGGCACCGATACCAGTATCAGTACATCCCTAATTTTATTAAAACATATATTTCTTTCTGCTGTGGGAATAGATACACATAACAAACATACAGAGGGGGGAACTGAGAAAGCTGGTCAGATGACCAGCGAAACGTTTAAGAAAAATACAGCCAGTCCCCTTGATTTATTTCTTTACAGATGTACCATGACCCGGATGAATGAGAACCTTCACACCTCATGAATTATATTGGGATTCTAAGGTCAGGAGTGCGACGGGACACTGCAAAAATTTTACTAATAGGGAACTCGTCCCTATCATGCTCCGCCCACTAACAGCATCCTTGGTTGCTAGGAGGCTGTTGGCTCTGCAACCGACAGCAACCAGTGACAGTTGTGAAGGGGGTAGCACGGAGCATACCGAGAGAGGCACTTAGTTCACCAGCATAGAGTTAGCTTAGTTAGCTATGAACTAAAGCTGATGATTCATCAATGCAGAGCAGCCATAGGGCGCTGTTAGGAACTACCTGGATCTGTCAGTAAAGTCACCAAATTTGGCACAGGGCCTTCTAAAGGTCCATACTGGCAGAAAGTTGGCATCGAGGCTTTACTGAATTCTCCGAAACGCGTCTCCGGAGTCCCTGCTCACATGCATGCACTTGATGGCACTCTCGTAATGCAAAGGGCCCATAGGCAAAGCATAGGCACCATTGCAAGTGGACACTAACCCTAAGATGCACCTAGAGATGCAGCAAAGATGCAATAAAATGCAAATAAAATGCATGCAAAATATACACACACACACACTCCTGTGCAGCCAGCAACAGGGAATACCGGTGACAGTGTGTACACAGGAGAGAGACACACACGTGTATGTATGTACATACATACATACATCCCCAGCGCTGGCTGGCACTGTCTGGGTGTGCAGATGACACTGTGCACACATGATAAGAGACTCCTGAATTGGGTTGTCACCCCACGCTGTCGTTCAGTGCTGTGTCTCCCAACTGACACCCCCTCCTGTCACCCTGATCGGTGTCCCTAGCGCCCTCCTCCCGGGTCACCAACCCCCACTCACCGTCACACACACACACGCAGCGTCCCCGGGGCTCCCCATCCATCCATCTATCCAGCGAGCAATGATCCGCGGTCCGGACCCGCCCCCTCACTGACGGTCCGGGGGAGGAGGAGCTTCGCCGCTGGCGTCAGCAACACAGCAAGTGTGTGTGAAAAGGGGGCGGGTGAGACATGTCACGCGGTGTAGAGATAATAGAGTTGACATATGAGAGGCGAGGGGAGCCGAGTCAAGTGCAGGGGGTGTAAAGATGTCCACCATATATATGACAGTTTACACCCAGTATATGAGGAGAGGAGAATATAGGAGTATGTATAGAGGAGGACATCACATATATGACAGTTTACACCCAGTATATGAGGAGAGGAGAATATAGGAGTATGTATAGAGGAGGACATCACATATATGACAGTATACACCCAGTATATGAGGAGAGGAGAATATAGGAGTATGTATAGAGGAGGACATCACATATATGACAGTATACACCCAGTATATGAGGAGGGTCACCTCAGAGCAGAGCCGTAGCTAGCTCCCTTTGCGCCGAGGCAAGAACAGAAAATTGTGCTCCCCAACAGACGTGTACGGTATGTGACCAGCGGCGTATTTACACTTTGTGCTTCCCCAGGCAAGACAGACTGTTGCCAATGGCGCCCTGTGCTCGCCATGACAACAGGGGCAAGGGGACGCAGCCAGGCCAGCCCTGACTGCCGCCCCTCTCAGCTGCGCCTGAAGCGAGTGCCTCACTCGCCCCATGGTAGCTACAGCCCTGCCTCAGAGGAGGGCGTATAGAGGAGGACATCACATAGATGACCTTATACACCCAGTATATGAGGAGGGTCACCTCAGAGGAGAATAGGGGAGGACATCACATATATATTACACCTTATAAGAGAATATAGGGGGATATATAGAGGTTGGACCCCCCATATATTTTATGTGTCTGTATATGTAGTGACTCTAACACGAGCGCTGACAACTAGACGTGTGCGATCCATTTCTAACTGAAATTCATGCAAATTTCGGCATATTCGGACATTCAGATGCATCCGGATTTCTGAATGGAAATAATGAATTTAACCAAATACAGAAATGAACTGAAAGATGTTTGACAACAAAGGTGCAGAACAAGTCCCAGGACCCCATGGCTCGCTCTGCCCCTGTGTTGACATTCGGGTCAGAGCTGTCATTAGCATCGAGAGTTCGTCGGGTTTGGACGTTGCTGCAGGAATTTTTTTTTCGGCAAGTCGGCGGCTGTCGTCCATCATGATTGACGAGGATCTACATGGCTGGACGACGTGACTGACATTGGGATTACATCGATGGACATTTTGTTTTTTCAATAAAGGATTTTTCAACAACTGCGTCTTGTTGGTTTTTTTTTAGCACAGTGTAGTGTGTGTGTGTTTATTTACTATGTCATTGTGTATTTGGTGAATGAGTAGGGGTATCAACTACCCCTTACTTATTCACAACGGGGGGGGGGAGGGTGCAGGATCTGGGTGCCTTCTTTATGAAAGAGGGCACTCAGATTCAGATAAGCCCCCCTGCCTGCACACCCCGACAACCACCATGCCAGGGTTGTGTGGAAGAGGCCCTTGCCCTCAGCAACACAAACCCCCCCCCCAAGGAAAGCATTCTCCGCATGTTGAGGGCCTGGTACGATCCCCTTTCCTGCTCTGTCAGGGTGAAAGATGTTTGACAACAAAGGTGCAGAACAAGTCCCGTGACCTCATGACTCGCTCCTTCCCTGTGTTGACATTCGGGTCAGAGCTGTCATTAGCATCGAGAGTTCGTCGGGTTTGGGCGTTGCTGCAGGGATTTTTTTTTCTTTCAGCAAGTCGGCCAGAAGAGGCCCTTTCCCTCAACAACAACACCCCCCCCAGCAAAGCATTCTCCCCATGTTAAGGGCCTGGTAGCGGAGGGGGGGGTGCACAATCCCCTTTTCTGCTCTGCTAGGCTGCTGCCCGGATCAAGAGTCTGGTAAGGGATTTTAGGGGTAAGGGATTTTTTTGGGCGTTGGGGTCCCCCCTAAAATTCCTACCAGACCTAAAGGGTCTGGTATGAATTGGGGAGGGGACTCCACACTCTTTAAAAGAATTTGAGGACTGTCAAAATTTAAAAGAAAAAAGTAAACATTTAATATTACTTTTACAGTGAAATACACACCAAGCAATATCGTCTATGGTTATTTCTGCAACTAACGTCCGTTCGTCATAATCGTTTTCACTCATCCGAAATCAAAAACAACACCTCGGACAGATCCGAATAGCAAAACCAATTGAATTTCAGAACCGAATCCTGATAAACAAAAGAACCAAAAGTCCGGAATGAACTGTAACTAATCTTTGGCCAGCTTCCATTTCTACTGACAACCTCGGAGTCCTGTCACTTCCCTGCAATGTTCCCGACCCTGCCGGGGCCTAGTCACAGAGCATTAGGTTGTCAAAGGGAGGACGTGGGCAGGCCTGGCGCTACTGCAAGGCAAGTCAGGCGGCTGCCTTATGGCGCTGCAGGGTGAGGGCGGAAAAAACAGGGCATTTTGACTTGTACTTGTAAAAATGCCCCGATGTTTGCGCTATGTTTTTTTTTTCACTTACCTTCGGTGCTGGAGAGCAGCGGCGAGTCAGCGCTGGTCCGGTGGGAGGAGCTCCAAGTGGGGTCCTAATTTAGCATTTGTATACGAGGGATCAGCGGTACACAGCTACACTACATTCAGATATGTAATCTATAATCGAGCTGTGAAAACAAATGCAGATAGATTTCCCAATATTTTACATATAGAAAGAAGAAATACTTAATAAGCATTAAGCAAACCCTAAATTTGATGCCATTTAGCTTCCTAATGTACGGTATATCATAAACAATTGCAATGGCTTTTTTTTTTTTTTATAAAACACGAATTTTACCCTTTTTTTAGTCTTAGCGATGATAATCTTTTCCAGCCACTTCCTGTTTACATGCACTCCCCCTATCATCGGTCGCACATCATTGCTCTGAACCAGCTTCCTGATAGAGAAAGGAGTGGACCATCTCTACTCAAGGTATGTCAGCACAGCTGCTTGTAGTTTCCACCAGGGGCGGAAACATGGTGACAACGCAGCATAGCAATTGTATTACGCATCATAGCCATTGCATTGCCACCCTATTGTTATAAGGAATATAGTGGGACTGTAATCAACTCTGGCAACAGTAAATTGTACCTAGACACAACAATTCTTCTTTTTTTTAAAAGGATATTACTTAGTTTTTATTTTTTTGTGCAATCACATAACAAAAGATATGTCCAACACCTTAAAAACATGCATTATACAGATACAGTATCATCCATTGTCATTGGACTTTATACAGATACCATAAGGATTCATGTTTTTCTCTTGGTCTATGCATGTTGTGGTCAACACGGCTTCTTCGGGACCATATCATTATATATTGTACACTTATCTGAAATAAATCATATGCAAATATGAAGACAAATCTCCTTATTGTCCATTTGATATATTTATTTATGAATTACAGGTATTTATATAGCGCTATGTTACACAGCACTGTACATAGTTGCACAATCACTGCCCTCAAGGAGCTTGCAATCTAAGGTCCACATGCATGCAAGGGCCATTTACCCACCTGCATGTCTTTGGAGTGTGGGAGGAAACTGGAGTACCTAGAGCAGTGGTTCTCAACCTGTGCACCTCAGGACCCACATTTGTCCTCAGTCATTAAGTCGCGACCCAAGTCGCACTGCAATGGAAAGCACGGCAGTGTGGGCTGCTGTGCTGTGACGGAGCTCCATCCATATGTGCAATGCTTGTAGAGCTCCCAATGCGTGCCTGTAGAGGTGCCGGGAGCCAGAATGTGAGGTTACTCCGGTCCAAGTACCGCTATAGGACATGCAAGGGGCTATAAGCAATGCATGTATGGATGGAGCTCCCTCGCTGTCATACCCCCACCCCAAGTTGACACTTGGCACTGGGCAGCATATTTTGAATGGCTGTTCGGTGTGAGAATGGACAGTGCTGCACTAGGGGGAGGCTGAGGAGCATGTAGGGACCCACTGAACACAGGGTCGCGACCCACTTTTGGGTCACGACCCACCAGTTGAGAACCAAGGACCTAGAGGAAACCCACGCAAGCACAAGGAGAACATGCAAAGGCCTTGCAGGTAGTGACCTGGCTAGGACTTGAACTAGGCAGAAGTGCTAACCACTACGTCACTGTGCTGCCCATAGCTCAAAAACACAAAAATTAATGGGAAAAAAAAAAAGTAAAAGTCTATCTTCAACGTTGGCATTTAAAAAAAAAATCCTTTCCCCCACCCCCTTCTGTTTGGAAAAAATTGCTTCCAAGCACTACTCACCTTCTCCACGTTCAACTCCTCTTTGTATCCTCCTCCATCCTCCAGCGCCGATTCTCTGCCATGTTGCTTGAGGTCCAGTCTCATTCAACCCACTTCTTGTGACCAGGGCATCTAGGGGTGCCTAATTTCTTAGGCCTGGGCTCACAGTAGCAGTGGCGTCACAAGGAGGTTATGGGGGGTGCGGCCCGCAACCGGGTGACACCATTGGAGGGGTGACACCAAAATGACTGACAGTCATTTTGGTGTCACCCCCTCTAAAAAGTCGGGCACTCGGTCATGGATCGAAGGGAGGACCTGGCGGCATACCTCATCCCGCCGGGTGAACATCCCCTCCTCTCTCTGCCGGCGTCCATCACCAAGATGGCCACCGGCAGGCATCAATTAGATGACCACACATGCACGATGACGTCATCGTGCACGTGTGTGGTGACGTCACGCGCATGCGAGATGGTGTCACCCGGTCTGCGCTCTGGGTGACACCCAGCCTTGGGACGCCCCTTCCCCTTCTGTTTGGAAAAAATTGCTTCCAAGCACTACTCACCTTCTCCATGTTCAACTCCTGCTCTTTGTATCCTACTCCATCCTCCAGCGCCGATTCTCTGCCATGTTGCTTGAGGTCCAGCATCATTCAACCCACTTCCTGTGATCAGGTCAACTAGGGGTGCCTACTTACTTAGGCTTGGGCTCACAGGAGCATGCTGACCTCACTCCTCATCAAGCAGCCAGAATACCAGAAAAAAATGGTAGGTGCTGGGATTTTTTTTAAATGTACTGCATGGGGGGTGTAGACCTTGGGGGGACAGGCATTCTGGGGTCGGGTTTAAGTCTTAGGTTTTAGCCCTGAAAATGATATGGCAACAAAATATATGCCAAATACTAGTGATGTGTCCCTTTCCATTATTTGTAGGTGACCGCTATCCTTTAAAAACATGTCCCTTCTCTAGTGCGATGTCCACATGATATTTTTGATACAGCTCACAATACAAATGACACATTTTACAAACAAGCAGACAATATATAGGTCTTTAGTTGAATTGTTTGCTTTTAAAACAATAAACATGTTTGTTTTATGAGCATAATTTTTTTTTTCCTGCATACAGTCTATGTTCTTCAACAAATGAAAATGTTGGTTTTATGAGACAGAGATTTAATTTTACCTTTGAAGCGACAGACTTTGATTTCTCCTTAGGAAATACTTCCCAGCAACAAACTTGTGACAAGCGATGGAATCTTCTACGTGTTTCTTCCAATTAAATATTGCTGTTCATCGGATGAAGTATAGTTAATCTAGTAAGCTCTAAATCCTATTTGCTCTTGACATCTGTCATTGGACGGGGGAAAACAGAGAGAGCCTTCAATCTGTATCCTGTGGAGCTGCTATGCTGACTTGCAACCGCTGAAAACAATCTTACATTGCAATATCATCATTGTTCTAAGGAAGACAGAATATTTCATGCGCTGGCCTCTGGAGGATTAGGACAATGGTGGAACTCCAGGAGACAACAGAATGCATGGACCAGTGACTTGTTTGCTAAGTTTGTACTTTTAGAGTCGTACCATGGGTTGCACACCTTCTCAAAATGGGATCGTTCAAATTCTTGCAAAGAATGCAGCTAAACCTTTGAAGAAAAACAAAGCCATACTTCCACCTGAGGATCATACTAATGGAATTACAATTCCTTTGGCTGTCAACCTCAACGGTGAAACTAATCAGAAAACCAGAGCAAAAGATTCCGATTATGACATTAATCATCCAGAAAAGGGCTTTTCTGATGCAAGTGGTGGGCTGTCTACGAGTGGGTCTTTATCAGAAGACCAGAGGAAACATGGAACAGATGGGACAGCTGATGAAGGAATGGTCAGTTTGACATACCAAAAGAGAAGAACTACAAGGAAATACAGTTCAACCTGTTCAGAGCAAGAGCTGACACAAGACACACAACGAGATAGCAATCTGAGGAAAGGCAAGAAATCAAAAAGCCGTAAATCTGGTAAACACGGCCGACACGCAAAACAGGATCAGATTGTTGTTGTTGAAACAGAAAAGAAAGTTGACTTCCCAGAGCTACTGGTTAAGGCTCACCAGGATGCTTATGCCTTCTTGAATCCTAATTTGTCAAAATATGAAGGTATCATTTCCATGGCAAACCAAGCAACCCAGACCCAGCTGATCATGCAGCAGATGGTTAGTTTCATGGCCCTGAGATTTGATGAGATCAATCAGTGTTTGGGAGAAATTGCTGAAGATGGAGAAAAGCTTTTAAAAGATGCGGGGGGCAGCCTCACCTGGCCATGTGGAAAAGACAACCTTTCAGAACATCCAGACTTACTGCAGCAGTTGCTACAGTATACAGTAAACAGAATGCAGTCTTTAAATTGCACTGTGTCATCGCTAACCACAAATGCCTTGCAGGAAACTTGTCATTTTTTACAGTCAGCCGTCGACAGTTTTCAGGAAAAACTAAAGAAAAAGGAACACCACGAGGAATGCTTGCTAAAGATGATTAATGCATTGGAGGACTTAGCAGCTGGTTCTACACAGCCCCATCGAAATGATTTGACTCTTTATTCCGAGGACAGCGGATTTGGGGGTGACGGTGAATCCATCAGAGGATACAGATCTCCTGAAAAGATGGAAAGACGGGCAAGCGTTGACACATCTGAACATATGAGTTTGGAACGAAGTGAAATAATTTTATCAAAGGAAGGGTTAACCTGTGGAACTAACGTGGTTGATTCTACTGCAGACTTAAAGGGTGGCTCTGACAGTGTAACTGAAGTATCTCGAACACAAGTGGACAATACAAGAGTTTCTAAGCAAATCAGCATTACCAGTAATAGTTCAGTAAGCTCAATTGGGACCTGTGCCACTCTAGAACAAGATAGTGTTCATGGTCAAGACCCGGACGATTCAAGTAGCAGTGACAACAGCTATGAAGAGAGCGATGATAACAAAAGTTTATCAAGTCAAGTTAGCTTACCGCAAAGGCCTCTAACCTCTCCAGCAGGAACATGCACTTATAAACACTTACCTAAATGGATAGAAAACCCAGATAATGAGGAAATGACACTGAAAATGAAAGAAGCTATAAGTGAAAAAATCAAGTTTGTCCCTGGCAAATCAAGCAGTAACGTGTGGACTAGAGAAGAAGTAAGTCGAGAAGTTGTAAGGCCCAGTACAGCAGATGGAAGCAACAGGAGAACATCTAGGCACAGAAGGTCTCGGTCTGCAGAGTCACTTAAAAGCCAGGGTGAAGATCCTACTCTCTTGGAACTTCAGAGGACTCAAAAAGAACTCACGAAAAAGTTAGAACAACTGTATTTATCAAATGGAACTAGAAGAAAGAAGGCACCACAAAACCGCAGTAATAAATCTTTTGTGCATACAGGATGCATTAGTTCAAGTGCTGCTCCAACCAACAAACTCAAGGCCTGTCTTGATAAAAGTTTTAATATATTGCCAAGTCAGGAAAGAATTGCAGTAAGAAAACATAATATTGATGTAGCAAAGGACCCAAATGCTAATCAAGACAGTCATATAGTAAGTACAACATTATCTAAACAGGATGCAAAGATTGTAGACAGTCCTATTTTGGCTATTATTTCCCCAAGGCAGTCTGTGCGTAAACTTATTCAAGCTTTCAGCCCAGAAGACAATTCAATAAAAACCTTAAATCGGAAAACATTGGGACCACTGAGATGTGTTCGAAAAGTTGGAGTACCTGTCCTACCACCCACAATTCCTGCCTTTAGAGGATTACAGGCTTTAGATAACATTAGTGATAATTTGTCAACAGCTGATGGGAATCCCTCAAATGCAAGTACATGTATCCCTCCTTTGGAATCTTCACTATTTCAGGATTCTAACAAGACTTGCACAAATGAATCTGGGATTGAAGACCTGGAGGACCTGCCTCCTCCTCCTCTCGAAATACTGATGGATAATTCATTCAATGTATTTCAGTATGATGGTTCTAACTATAATACCTTACCTTGTGCAATGAAGAATGCATCCACAACTTCAAAAATGAAAGCATCTATTAATATAAAAGACTTGTTACCAAACAAAAATAGTACTGAAGCATATATCCCCACAGTTAAGACATCTGGTAAAAAAGAACCAGTCAATGGCCTTGGAAAATTCTCTTTGCAGTCTGGTCAACACAACAGAGAGAAAGTTCCAGGTCTGGACCCTATGAGAAAAAATGAAATCGAGGAAGTTGCACATTTATACAGGCAGTCACATAAAATAATTCCTTTACAAAACCTCAGTGATGGTGAAACATTGAATCCAAACCCTCATATTAATTCTGTTAAACAAAGTACTCCTTTGTTTTTACCTAAGCAAAAGCAGTGTTCTCCAAAGTTACAGCAGAGTGAAAAGAGTCCAGTAACACTGAGAAGAACTTCCCCAACAAGGGCAACAGCCTCTTCTCCACCTACAGAGAGAAAAATAGCAAGCCCTCCAACTAGTAGAGCTGTAATTAAAAGTCGTTCCCAGGTACAACCTAGTCCTCCTCCAGTTCAGAAGAGCACCAGTCCTTCAGGTTCTTTCAGAGTACCAAGCCCCCCAAATCCATCCAAGCTGTCTAGTCCTCCAACCCTGCGCAAGTTACCAAGCCCCCATCAGATACGGCGACAACAAAGTCCACCAGGTCAGCAGAAGCTGCCAAGCCCTCCTCAGATACAGCGACAACAAAGTCCACCAGGTCAGCAGAAGTTGCCAAGCACTCCTCAGATACGGCCACAACAAAGTCCACCAAGTCAGCAGGGGCTGCCAAGCCCTCCTCAGATACGGCGACAACAAAGCCCACTAGGTCAGCAGAAGCTGCCAAGCCCTCCTCAGATACGGCGACAACAAAGTCCACCAGGTCAGCAGAAGCTGCCAAGCCCTCCTCAGATACGGCGACAACAAAGTCCACCAAGTCAGCAGAGGCTGCCAAGCTCTCCTCAGATACGGCGACAACAAAGTCCACCAAGTCAGCAGAGGCTGCCAAGCCCTCCTCAGATACTGCCACAACAAAGTCCACCAAGTCAGCAGGGGCTGCCAAGCCCTCCTCAGATACGAAGACAACAAAGTCCGCCAAGTCAGCGCAGGCTGCCAAGCCCCCCTCAAATACAAAAGCAGCAAAGTCCACCAAGCCAACGTAGAGCATCAAGTCCACCAAGCAGCCGACGTGAACCTAGTCCTTCCTCACATATTACACCTTCTCCTCCGCTTTCTCCATCCTTTACACATAAGGGACTAAGACGAAGCTCTGATGAGCCACAGGCTTCCCCAAAAATTATTGGCAATGCACAATCAATATTTTGCCCGTCGTCTACATCCCTATTTGAAGCAAAACTTGCCTCTTCACCATGCACAAATAGCTCAGAAATTACACAGAACCATTCTTCTGTTTCTGTACTGAAACACAGTTTATTGGGACGCCAGTATGATGACCAGCACAGAAGACTTGCAACAAGTGCTGCAAATCCCCAACCTTTTGTTCGAAGATGCTACTCAGACCGCAGGCCCAGAGTCCAGCTACGTCTGCCAACATCGGTCTCTACTTCTGCACTCAGTGAACCTGCTGTCCAGCAAACTGGGTAAGAAATGTGTATCTCTAGCACAGTTAGTAGCTTTAACCCCTTCATGACTGAGGCCCTTTTTTCAATTTTTACTAGTTTACTCATTTGTACTGAGATTGTAGAACATCACATGAGTGAGCTTGGAGCGGTGACTACTTTACAACACACACAGGGACCATGGGGAACAAAAGTAACCCCCCTCCAGAAGGAAGGACAGTGTCAGCACCAATTCAGAGATGATTTGAGGATCTACAGCCGAGCGATACACAAATAACATACACAGTTTTCATTGATTCCAAGGAAATTAGGCATAAAGCTTTATTTAAATCCAAAAACAAAAAGCATACATTACAGCGCTTCAGTTCTTAGATGTGATGCCTGCATTTTTTCAGGTTTTTTTCTTCTTTATTTTTACCTAATGATCCTTCCAGCTGTGCTAGGGTGACAACGCTCACTCTCTGTACTGTATCTTGAAGCAGCATTGTCAACGTAGGCTGATCTCCTGATTTGGACCAAAAGCACCTCCACTTCTTCCCATCACCATTACATAAAGGGGAGTAGTTTTGTGGTTCTCAGAAGATAGCTGGGAAAGCTGATCACATTGTGTGAGATTTCAGTTCGTTGCACAGGGAGTAACCAGGACAATAGATTTCCAGCAGTATCAACAGTTATTTTCTGCGCTTGCACAAAATGTAGTTATCCCTAAAAAATAAAACTATTGCAGCCACACACAGGAATGGTGATTTGTAATGTATTACATGTGTGCTTTGGGTTTAGATACGCTTTAATATGTTTATGAGCTGCACAATGAGTACTGACAAAAAACGTATGTAGCCCTGTAGTCAAAATAGAAGCCTCCATGAGAATTCTCCAAGACTGGTATATTGTTTTGTTCTTTTGGAGTTATGTTGGGTTGGTTTTTTTTGGCAAACTCAAAAACTCTACTGGGTCATAAACAGCCTAATCCAAAGTAATACTCCGGCCCTCCAGTTGTACTTTATCTACAAATCCCAACATGCCTCTGCCTCCGAGAGTCATGCCTGTAACTGTCAGTCATGCAATGCCTCATGGGACTTGTAGTCAGGGCCGGTGCTAGGATTCTTGGCAAGGTGCATTTTTGCGCCCCCCCCCCGACCGCGATCCTGACCCCCTGTAAAAACAGGGCATTTTGAAATGCCCCGCTGTTTGCGCTATGTTTTTTTTCACTTACCTTCGGCGTGGGAGAGCAGCGGCGAGTCAGCGCTATGTAGTTGCACATCAGCTGGAGGGCCGCAGTTGCCCACCCCTGTACTATGGGGTTTATTGGCATTGCAGCATGCTGGAGAGGGACATAAATATTTGGGGCTGATCTTGTAAGGTTCTTTACCGCCTGGGCTCTGGCCTGGGGGAGAATGTGTTGTTGACCATGGTGTAGCTAGGTCTGCTGCCTAGTGAAGGCCGGCATGTGTCTGAAAGTGGAGGCCTGGATTTGGGCCTGAAGCTGTCCTGCCGATTGGAGGGGAAAGCTGAACTGAGAAGCAGTGCCAGGATGAGCGACTCTGCTGCAAGGTTAGGCTGGATCCTTGTAGGGGCTTGGTAAGGGTCTTGAGAGGATATACAGAGAAGTCTGCTAACCAGCTGAGATTCTGCTATATAAAGTGATGCTGGTCCCTGCATTGTATAGCTGGAAGTGGATATAAGGTCTTCAAAAAGGAACTTTACCCTTATCTTTGAAATGAAAACAAACACACCATTAGAAATGTTTAGTAATGACAATCTACAGATACTTCTAGATAATTGCCGACTTTTCATTCTTTGCATACCTTATTTTTCTTTTCCTCCCCATTTTTCTCACAGTGCCCATTTTTACTAAGGGCAGATGAATCCATCTCCCTTTACTTCCTGGAACTATGGCACATGTGACTAGGACATGTGACCATGCACATCATCTCAGGGGAGGAAAATGCCTTTCCCTGAGATCTCGTGACATCACAGATGAGATTTCCCAGCTATGCTCTACTGATCTATCCTTCCCAGAATGCAATGCTTAGGCACATTACATCACTAATGCAGGTCCACTTTAATGTGTTCTGGGTGTCTGAAGCCCTTACCCAGAGTTACTGGGCTGAATAAAATCTTAGTGACTGGTGCCCAACATGCATTCACACCCAACAACAAGCCAAGGATTTACTCCTAAGGTCAAATGCAAGCCCACCCGGCCTCTGGAGTTTGGGGATTAGGGGGTGCTACATATACACTATATTGCCAAAAGTATTGGGACACCAGCCTTTACACGCGCAGGAACTTTAATTGCATCCCAGTCTTAGTCCGTAGGGATCAATATTGAGTAGGCCCACCGTTTGCAGCTATAACAGCTTCAACTCTTCTGGGAAGGCGTCCACAAGGTTTAGGAGTGTGTCTATGGGAATGTTTGACCATTCTTCCAGAAGCGCATTTGTGAGGTCAGGTACTGATGTTGGATGAGAAGGCCGGGCTCGCAGTCTCCGCTCGAATTCATCCCAAAGGTGTTCTATCGGGTTGAGGTCAGGACTCTGTGCAGGCCAGTCAAGTTCCTCCACCCCAAACTCCCTCATCCATGTCTTTATGGACCTTGCTTTGTGCACTGGTGCGCAGTCATGTTGGAACAGGAAAGGGCCATCCCCAAACTCTTCCCACAACCTTGGGAGCATGAAATTGTCCAAAATGTCTTGGTATGCTGATGTCTTGGTATGCTGATGTCTTGGTATGCTGATGCCTTAAGAGTTCCCTTCACTGGAACTAAGGGGCCAAGCCCAACCCCTGAAAAACAACCCCACACCATAATCCATTAGTAGCAAGGAAATGTCACGGATGGACATATTGCACAGGTGACAACCTATCACGGTACCACGCTTGTAGTCACTGAGCTCCTGAGAACGACCAATTCTTTCATAAATGTTTGTAGAAGCATCTGCATGCCAAGGTGCGTGATTTTATACACCTGTGGCCATGGAGGTGATTGGAACACCTGAATCCAATGATTTGGAGGTGTCCCAATACTTTTGGCAATATAGTGTGTATATTGAAAGACCTTTAAACTAAAAGAAGGAAATTTTTCCTGGAAATCTAGCATGTGACTTGTTAAGATGCACGTTTTGTATCCTCTCACATATGAAACAAGTTCTGCAGCTTATTGCCTATACACACCCAGCAATTGAACAGTTCAGGGACTTCTGCCAATAAAACGACTGTGTTCAGATTGATGCCTCGGTTAGAGATGAGGGGTTCGGCAAGTGCTGTCATGCTAATCCTTTTAACTTTTCCCAATTTATTTAATCCTGTACAGCAGAGCGGTATAATTAACTAAATTGATAGCATGACAGAAAGCTAGCGTTATTAATGGCAGGCTCGGGAAATTACTATTTTCACTCCTATTAAAGGATGGATAAAAAAAAAGTTCTTGAAGAAAAAAGAATTCTGCTGATCATTTCTTCTAGAGGAAGGGCTTGGTTCTCATTGACGTGAATAATTATTTCCAGTTATTTATGAAGTGTTATTAATCCCTGTCGCTCTATTGTTTACAGCAGGGAGTTCACTGTGAGCACCGCCAGTAATTTTGACAAATAACCCGTGTGGACCACTGTTGCTTCATCATGCAAATATATCCTGGTGAAAACATTTGCGCCCTTCGTTGCTCAACACCGGTTTAGTACGTTTGTGAATCAAAGTGTAGGGCCGTGACAAACTTTATGTTACCTGGGCGTCTGCGCCGTAAAGATGAGCGACCATTTTATCGTTATGCTAATTTCTCTCAAAGTCAATCAGGAGATTGGAGGTGGAAGGAGGCACCTTGGTAGGATGACTTAATCACTTTGAGGAATCTATATTGTCTGTCTGAGTACATACTACTGTCAGGAACAATAAGATACACATTGAAAGGATGCTTTCATTAAAATGAACCTGTGCTGACATAAATATGGTTAACTACTATTGTTGACGTGTTTTTAATAGGGTTGCCACCTTTTCTTCAAATGAAACCCAAACACTGTAGCCCCGCCAGCAATTTTTTTTCTTTTGAGAATATAGAGGAGTTTGCGAGGAGAGGCAGCCAGGGGAGGGAGTAAGGAGACCGGCTATAGAGGACTACAGCAATATGTTATATAGCAATACAAAATAATATGAAGCTACATACTCTGTGTTGTTCGGGGTTGGTGCCCTGATGTCTTCTGGTGGGCTGTGCACCTCTCAGGTGGACTGTGCACCTCTCAGGTGGCCTATGCGTCTCTCAGTTGGGCTGTGTGACTCTCAGATGAGCTGTGCACCTCTCATGTGGGCTATGTGACTCTCAGGTGGGCTGTGTGCCTCTCAGGTGGGCTGCCTGGGCTATTGTGTCTCACCAGGGTCTGGTCTGGGCTATGGTGTCTTGCCCTGTGTATATGTGCAATAGGGACTTTACATTGTAAGCTCCTTCAGGGTAGGAACTGATGTGAATATACAGTATGTAAAACCCTGCGTAAATTGTCAGCACTATAGAAATACCTGTAATAAATAAACTTTAATAATAAATTAAACTTTTCAAGGGTATTGGTTTCCTGGTTCCCTGCTGCACTTTCTGTTTTCACCCGCTGGCTCCTGCATAACTACTGTGCCCTGTAGTCACATATCCTAACTTCCTGTTTGATTTGACAACTCCTAAAATTCCAAGCAGTTTTGTCAGCCTGAAGACACCCCCTGCTGAACGAAAAAAAATCACGTTATGTTAACAGTGAATTAAGGCCCTAGAATTATTGTTCTAACGATGTTCGCGGTGAAACCTAACATGCATAGCGCAATCGTCGTTTACATACACCCCTACGCATATGTTTCCATTTGCATGCAGGGGGCTTTTCATTTTTAACTTTTATTTATTTTACTATATTTTGCTTTTTTGTCACTTTTTTAAAATGTTTTCACTTAAAGTAGTATTCAAGTCTTATTTGTTTACATATATCTCCTGCTAGCAAGCAGTAGATCTATGCAAAAACATTTTAAAAAAGTTACCAAATAGGTAAATACTTACCTGTGTCTCCACTGCTCGCTCCCAGCTGTAGAAATGGGTTTCTTGAACGGCTGTGCAGGAGGATGTGTGCAGGCCCATGCGCAGTGGAGATCACCGGCGAGGAGAAGAGGGGACACACAGTGGAGGTGAATGCACACAGCCATGAGCGTGCATGTCGGGCAGACACAGTGGGATGGGAAGAAACAGCAGTCAGCACTGGATCAGAGACTGGCACCAGTGCTGGAGGGACTGCTGAAAACTACTGGAAAGAAGAAGATGATCGGATCAAGAGGCATCACTTAAAATAGGTCCTTACAGCAGCATTTGGGGGGAGAGGATTTAATGTAACTTTAACTTTATGTCAAGCACACAGGGACTAACAAGCCCCTATGTGACAGCGTTTGGAGGTGATGAGTTCACTTTATGGAGACATCAGGGGTCTATTAGACCCCTGTTGTCTTACCTGCCCTCCAATACAGGGTATCGAACACAGCATTGTGCCCGATCGCCTGTGTAACTGGCAATTCAGCCGGGCTTCTGACAGCTGTGAACAGAAAGCACTGTGGGTACAGCGCATCACTGATCACAGAGCAGATCATGGAACGGGGTAGAGGAGATTCCTCCAGCAGACGGCATATCAGGAGCTGCTGTCAGTTTGGCCTGACTCGGTCAGCAAACAGAGACTCCCACACTCCTTTCTGTACAGCCCTGGCTGTAAGGAGGTCATGAAATGCATGCATGGTGCATGAACTGCACATCATACAACAGCACATGATGTGTGCTGTAAAAAAGAAAATGCATGGGGGCTAAAATTTTGGGGTGTCAAGGTGCATTAATACTGCCTATTAAATTGAAATGGTCTCTCTAACATGAGCAATGAGTTTTCCTCTGCAGATTTTGTTTTTTAGTGATAGGTGTTGGGCGTTTCTCGTGAACTAGTTGCGCTCGCCTCTCCCAGTAAATGTTTATTTGTTCTTCTTGATGAAGAGCACAGATTATTCCTGGAAGAAAGCTGGGGTTGTTTGTGCATTGGAAATGACATTTGCTGGATCCGCGCTGCGCACCACTCCCCTCTTTACAGCAGCTTGTTTAAACTTGTGATGAAGGATCTCATTCTGTGTTGCCGGAGACAACACCTCTTTTCTACAGAATTGATGATCTATTATCTTTTCAGGGGCTGAAGAAATACTTTTCAATATACTTCATGTCTATAACTAACAATGTGACAGTGACAGCATGTTGTTACATTGTTTACTTAGCGGTTTCAGCGCTAGGAGCTTGGTGGAGTTAAAGGGCATGTAAAGTCCCAGCATATCTTCTCCTGTTATGACATCAGCCAATGGGGTAAGGGGGCTACTACCTTGCTTAGGGCCCCATTTGGCCTTAGTCTGTGGACATTTAGGATCCAATACGTTTATTGCGCAAGCTATGACAGAGTACAGTATTTGATTAGCAGCACATGGCTGCTACCTTAGCCTCTTAATTTCTAAGGGAGCTGGAAGGGTGTGCTTAGTTTTTCACACATGGCTTCTCCATTGTGGCTTTATGCTTGTGAAATAAATAATGACACGGTGTAATAGGTCATGTGTTGTTGTTCATCTGAGGTTGTAGCTACCTAATTTTAAGACCTGCTAAGGACCTCTCGCACCAAATGCTCCAATACTTATCCCGATACCGGAACGTCCGGTCAGAGGGAGATTTCCTTTGACCGGTAGTGCTGTGAGGGAACATAGAGCTGGCTTCCCTGCCAATCAGAATCCCGGCCGCCGGTAGTGACTCACGGCCCGGCTTCCTGATTGGCAGGGAAGATGGCTCCATTCTGTATGGTGGCTCGATGCTGATTGGCCGGGAAGCCGGCTTCCCAGCCGTTCAGCATCAAGCCAGCCAAACAGCTTGGAGCCGGCTTTGCGACCAATCAGGAAGCCGGGCCGCGGGTAATGACCCGCTTCCCAGCTTCCTGATTGGCTGGGAAGCCGGCTCCATGCTGATGGGCTGGGAAGCCGGCTTCCTGGCCAATCAGCATTGAGCTGATCAAACAGCCCGCTTGATGCTGATTTGGCTTCCCGGCCAATCAGCATCGAGCCAGCCAAACAGCATGGAGCATGGGTAAAGGAAACAAAGGGCGTTGCATTTATTTAGCAGCCAGCAGATTAACGGCGTCCCAATATATGTCTAATAATGCGATTAGCGCGGCATGCTTAGCATAATAAAGTCGTTTCTCGTTAGTGTCTCTGCATAAGCCTCTTTTCTCGTTTCAGGCCTGATGAATCTACGCGGAAAGACAGCCAATCATCGACCAGTCCAGGCTTAACGGATCCCAAAACTTCCAGCCAGAAGGCCTCTTATCCAGAGCTGTGCGTGGTGGGACAAGGCCTCCAGTGACGCAGTTATCATTTACACCTTCCGAACTCCATTGAAGCAACATAGAACTGTCACTACATGCTCAATATCTGACTCCGGGCACCAAAATTCCTTTTAATTTACATATTGCTGACCCTGATTTGTATGTAAGTCAGTACAGCCTGCTTCAATGAACCAAAAAATGTGTTTTTTGGGTGGGTCTGTTTCTTCAGGTCATATGATTCTCTTCTATGCTACTTTCAATACATATAAAAACTCCAGCTACTGCAGTTATGTATTTATTAAAGGAAATGCTCTTCCTGTAATCTCTACAGCAGACTGGGAGAGCAAGGACCAGCAGTAGAGGCAATTAATACTGCTGCAGCAGCTTACTATACTTACATGCGGACAGGAAGAGAGAGAAAGAGCCAAGTGAGCAGAGGAATGTCCTCAGCAGTGTGCTTCTGCTCCTTTATTGTCCAATCACAAAAGTGGGGTGTGTCCTTATCCTACTGTAGTGGAGCTTTCAGATCTGGGTGTGCTGTCTGCCACGGGGAACCTGAATCACAAAACCAGCTGCATAAGATTACCAATCCCATGGAGGGTAAAACAAATCCCATATATGTGTAAAGCTGGCCATACACCTATAGATGATCTGCAGACTTTCTATGGTCAGATGGAAAAAGTGCAACAGATTCCTCCGTCTACGCTAAGCTGTGTGGATGGAGGAATCTCCCGCTGGGCCAAGCTTCAGAATCTCGCTAGTCGGCCCCGCTGGCTCTCAAAATACCTGAACAACGCCGACATCCGATCAGATTGTTCAGGTATTTTGACAGCCAGCAGGGCCGACTAACAAGATACTGAAGCTTGGCCCAGCGGGAGATTCCTCCATCCACACAGCTTAGCGTAGACGGAGGAATCTGTTGCACTTTTTCCATCTGACCATAGAAAATCTATAGCTGTATGGCCCAGGTTAAGAGTGCACATTCAATTCAACTTAAATTTACATTAAACCCTCAGATTTTTTAACATAAAACAATAGTGTAATGTGTGCCTTACTGTAATCCATGGTTGTTTCCCTTCTCTTTGCTGCTCTTCTTTTTAAATCTGTATCTCTTCTCATGCTGGGCAGAACTTCTGTTTTGCAGCAGACTGCCTTGTCTCTGGAATGGATACACGGTGTCTGTGTGTAGGTTTGCAACCTGAGCCCGCACTACAGGAAGAAGCCCTGAGCTGCAAAGGGAAGTTCTCCCCAAGCATGAGAAGACATGAGGATTTAAAAGGAAGAGCAGCAAAGAGAAGGGAAACAACCATGGATTACAGTAAGGCGCACATTACAGTATTGGTTTATGATAAAAAATCTGAGTGTTTAATGTCACTTTAAAGAAGAACTCCAGGTAAAGTTAACACTTGCATTGCAGTGGGGCTACCCCTGCTGCACCACAAGGGTTAAGTGCTCGTTTCGTCTATGGGGCTCAAATAACACTGCATTACTCACTATCCCTTGGCGTCCTCACCTCTAATGCAAGTCAATGGACCTGCATAAGACGTGATGACATCAGTGATCCTCAGAGCCCAGGGTAAAAGAGGCTGTGTGAGGACCAGTCTAGAAGACCCACAGGGCTAAGGATGAGGTGAGTAATACATCTTTATTTGAGCCCCCCTAGACCAAACAAGCACTTATCCAGGGGTTGCCACACTGCAAGAGTATGCCTTTTATTTGCCCCTATTCTTCCCTAAGTTATCTGGAATGCACGTTCAGTGGGTTAAAGCTGATATTTTGTATATGATGGGACACTGATGGGCTGAACCACCAACTGGTTCCTCAATCTATATCAGCTTATGTCTGTAAAACAAAAGAAAACTGAACAAGAAAATAAACCCCGTCAGGCGAGTTTTGCTCAAAACTGCACCCGCTGGCATCTACCCAAAACTGCTGTGTGACTTTTGGGTGAGGAGCCTGAGAATGAGGCGTCTTCTTTAAGTGCTTTAACGGGGGTAATTTTCCCCTGATTATCTGTATTTTTATAGACTGGACTTTTGTACCGTGTGATGTTAATATCACTGTTATGTTATGTTATTAAAGATGTCAAGTATTACATTTTTTGCCAAATATAATTGTCCATTTTCCAAATATTTGTCTGTTTTTAGATATAGAGTGATCTGGAATTTGTTTTCTGAAGCAGCGAAATATGACTGACTGCTCAACTTTCATTTGGATGTTATTTTTGGATATAGTAGGGAAGGGTTAAAGCTGAGCTCTGGGGAAAAACCAAAACTACCCTTGCATTGTAGGTGGTGATGTCAGAGTGCCTGAGAGCGACACAGCGTTGAAGAGAAGTGACTTCGGGGGATCGGTAGGGTTGCCACCTTTTCTTCACGTGAAACCCGAACACTTTAGCACCATGTGCGGCAATTTTTTGGGAGAATATGGAGGAGAGAGCGAGAAGAGACAGCCAGGAGACCGGCTATAGAGGACTACAAATCCCAGCAATACATACACAGCAATACAAAATAATATGAAGCCACATATTCTGTGTTGTTCTGGGGTGGCGCCCTGATGTCTCCAGGGTCTCCAGTGGCTGTGCGGACTCTCAGCTGCGCTATGCCGGTTCTCAGATGGCTGTGTGGGGTCTCATGTGGGCTATGCAGACTTTAAGGAGTCCTGTGCAGGAAGTGCAGGGGTCGCACCTGGGGTTTGAAGGCAGGCAGCGTGCTGTCAGTAAGGAGACGGAGATGTGCGGGCCGGTGCCTGTTTACACGCACCTGCGGCTCACAGAAAGATGCAACTGCCTGAGGTCCCGTGCTTGCTGGGGACCTCGACAGCCACATCTGTCAAAAAATGTAAAGTGTCTTGTGTCCAGGTGTCAGTTGGCTTGAAACCTGGACACAAGACTTAAAAACCGTACTGTCCGGGTGAATCCCGGACAGCTGGCAAACCTAGGGATCGGTCACACAGGGAGCAGAAGGTAGTTTTGGATTTTCCCCAGAGCTTTAACACCTCTGCTAGTACCTTTTCTGATGTCTTCCACTGAAGAAGATACTTTACTTCCTTTCCTAAAAGGGCTGCAGTAACCAAGAGGGAAAGTCTTAAAACTGAGTGTAAATTTTTCCCTTAATTTCCTTTTTAGGTGCAACATAACATTTTAGATTTCTCATCACTCTCTGTCCTAGTTATTGTAACTGGGACAATTAGAGGAGTAAATCCACCAGGACAAGGGTCATGGGCACATATAGGGTTCATCTACTAGTAGTACTAGTACAAGCAGCAATAGGAGGTCAGCAGATACATATCAGCTTCTGTAAGGCTGCAAAAGAAACATCGATGACATGTTATAACCCTATAATGTCCCTATAATAAGGCAGTCTCAGGCAGTTGCCCCTGGCTGCATCTCTGTGGGCCATGTGGGGAGCGGCATGGCTGCTCTGCCGCGCAATGCGTTCAGTGTGCCTGCCGCCCCCTTTCTGACCAGAGCGTCCCAGGTTGTTAACAGCCGGGTATGGATATGAGTAATGGCTATAGACATCTCCTGCCCTTAGCAACCCGGGACACTCATGCCGGCATCTCACCGAGCTGCTGGCAACCAGTGACATCACTGGCTTCCAGGAGCTTGGCAGGACGCCGGCCCGAGTGTCTTAGGTTGCTAAGAGCTGGGCAGGGAGATGCAGAGCCCCACATCTCCATGACCGCCTCTTAGCAGCATCACTCTCCACTAGCACTGCCCCCCAATACCCCCCACTGATCGTGTACCATCCAGGAACCCCCCTCCCCCTGGCCGCTTTAGGGGGCAAAAAAAGGCTAGGGACACCCCTGAGTGACGCCCAATTAGATTTCAGTTTGCCATTAATGGGCAGATTATGATTAACTGCCACCAGTTTCTGCAATGTAACTATTGCTCTTTGTCTGATTGGATAAGCCTATGGACCAAAGCAAAATGCTAAAGTAAACTCCCCATTATCCAGCATTGAGACAACAGGCACTCTCAAGCGAACAGCAAAAAAAATGTGTTTTTTGCTCTTGCTGGATAGACATATGCACACTAAAAAATTTCGTTAGCAACTAAATTTATTTAGTTGCTAACGAAATTCTCGCTTTACATCTTGCTGCTGGACGCGGCTAGATTCGGTAGTCGGCAGCTAAATGTAAACAATGGGGAGCAATAGCCAGCCTGCTATTAGCTATTTCAAATTGCAATAGCCAATAGCAGGCTGGCTATTGCACCCACCCACTGAGCAGAGGAGCGGACCTGAGAGAGAGCTTTACTATTAACTCTCAAGCAACCAGAAACTACAGTTATCCGGCATCTACCAATCCCTGTGGGTGCCAGATAACTGGGAGTTTACTTTAAATTGTATTCTTGCATCTCGTCATATTTTACATTCAGTTACACAACCTAGTATAGGCGTATTGTATTCAACTGGAGGTACGGTGTCTTTGTTGCTCATATTAACATATAATTGTTCAATTTTCCAACCTGCGCTTTGGAAATAGCAAACGGAATCTACAAATATGAGCAACAAAGTTCCTTTCCTCCAGTTTTGATAAATATGTGTCTAAGGGATCCAGATACTGGTGATTGGGGTTCGCTTGTTGTTGGGTCTCACATCGAAAGAGTAAAGGTAAGGTTAATATAAAGGACAACAGCATGCAAAGTCTACATCCAGATCTAAACATTTTAAGTCCAAATTTGTTTTTGGATGAAGTGGGGAAGGGATGGAATTTTTGTTTGGGTTTTTACCTTTGTCTAGTCCCCTTTTGGGGAGATTTCCCTTTACTGCCTGTCCTGTCTGACACAGGAAGAGAGGTGAAAAAAGCTGGGACACAGGCAATGATAGAAAAAAACCTTTGAGAACCGGGGTAGGCAACTTCAGCACTCCAGAGGCGGTGAAACTACAAAATATGTCATGTCTTTTCTTCTGGGAGTCATGTCTGTGGCTGTCAGAGTCTTGCAATGCCTCATGGGACTCCCCCACTCCCCAAAAATGGATTATCGATTTAGGAAACGAAGGATTTAGGAAAAACAGGAATATGGGCCTCTCGT